GGGCCTTCTGCAGTTCTCACTCCTGGGATTCTTTAATTAAGACTTCAGGGAAGTCAGCACCTCATTCCCTTGTGTCCTACCTAAGCCAGCCTGTAAATGGGTTTCTTCCACAGCCTTCATTTTTCTTATGGTGCTTGGCAAACCTCGTGATTTAGATTAGTTGTGGGTTTATTTTGAGGTCCTACTCTAACTCAGATGTGCTTGGTAGAAGGGCCTTGCCTCCCCCCACCCCCTTTCAAAACAATGTGCACACCCTTAATCCCAGCACTAGAGAGGCAGAAGTAGATGGATCTCTTGAGTTTTAGTCTATATAGTGAAACCCTGTTTTTTCAAAAAAACCCCACAACCGGCCGGGCAGTGGTGGCGCACACCATTTAATCCCAGCACTCGAGAGGCAGAGGCAGGCTGATAACCTGAGTTCGAGGCCAGCCTGGTCTACAGAGCGAGATCCAGGACAGGCACTGAAACTACACAGAAGAAACCCTGTCTTGAAAAAACAAAACAACAAAAAAAACCCACAACCAAACCAGAGTTTTTGCTTTGTACCCCAGATCACCCTCTGTCTCTTCTCAGCCTCTTCCCTGTGCATCTGCCATTGGGCCCAACTAAGACAATGCCCAAGGTCACCCATAGGCTGGGAGAAGCTTCAAGGACTCCACAAAGCAGTCTGTTCTTGTGTTGGTGATTGTCTTGTCCCTGACTAGTAATTTTCTTTCTCTTTTTTTTTTCTCTTTTTTTTTTTTAAGCTATGTATTTTTTTAAAGATTTATTTATTTATGTATACAGTGTTCTGCTTGCATGTATTCCTTCAGGCCAGAAGAGGGCACCAGATCTCATTACAGATGGTTGTGAGCCACCATGTGGTTGCTGGGAATTGAACTCGGGACCTCAGGAAGAGCAGCCAGTGCTCTTAACCACTGAGCCATCTCTCCAGCCCTTGTGGGTTTTTTTGGGCTTTGCATATGTGTGTGTTTTAAGACAATTCACTGTGCAGACCAGGCTGGCCTCTGGCCAATAGATCACTTAAAAAATAAATAAATAAAGACCTTCAATAATATGGAGTGAGAATTTTTTTTTTTTAGACCCCATACTAATAGGCTTACCTTGAACTTGATGCCTGCCTTCCTCCCAAGTGCTGGGAGTTCAGCCTGGGCTACCAGGCCAGGAGTGAGAGGTGGGAACTCACAGATGCACAGGGGATCTCAAAACATTGAAGCCCTCACTCCAGAATCCAGGGAGCAAAGCTCTGGGTCGCTCAGTCCCTGCTCTGGGCACCATAAGACACGAGGTCACTAGTGGCTGCAGCGCTGTGAAGCTGTTAGCAAGAGAGGAAGGGAAATCCATCATTTTCTCAGGGTTAGAAAAGGAAGCCAGGACAGAATGAGGTCATTGCTGGGGAGGGGGATGAGGAGGATTGTTTGGAAGTTCCAGGGCATGGAAGCCCAGAGGCCACTGCTGTTCCGAGCTGCTTCATTGGAAGCCTGTGATAAATGCATGGCTCAGGTCCAGAGGAACAGCCACTTGAGAAATAAGCCCTGCCTGGTTGACTGACACATCAAAGAGGCCATTGTGAAGAAAAGGGCATCTTTAAAGAATGAAATATGAAATAGGAGAGGGAGGATACCAAGGTGAGGGAATAAGAGGACCTCAAAATGAAGCAAAGTTTATGGAAGCTAGAAATCAAGTGGGACTTCAAAATTACGATGAGCGCCCAGAAGCAGCAACAGACAGTTAAGGATTTTAAGGATTTGTCTTTATTTTCTGGGTATGTGTGTATGCCTGTATGCAGCATCACATGTGTGCAGTGCCTACAGAATCCAGATGTTAGATCCCCTGGAACTGAGCCACCTGCTATGGGTGCTGGGGACAAGACCAGGGTCTTCTGCAAGACGGTTAAGTGGTAACTGCTGAGCCATCTCTCCATTGCCCCTCTCCTACCCCTTTCCCTTTGGAACATGGTTTCATGGAGCCTAGACTGGCCTCGAACTTGCTGTGTAGCCGAGAATGGCCTTGAGTTCCTCATCTTCCAGCCTCTACCTCCTGAGTGCTTGAATTACAGACTTGTGCTGTTACTCAGTTTATATGGTGTTTAGGATGGAACCTAGAGCTCCATGTATACTTGGCAAACACTGCCAAATAATCGACGTTCCCAGCTCTTGTTAATCTGTATTTTGCTGTTACTGATAATGTCCAGTGCTTTAAACCTACTGGTCACTTGTATATTTTCTTGTAAAATATCTATTTAACTACTTTGTCTGTGTGTGTGTGTGTGTGTGTGTGTGTGTGTGTGTAGCCCTGGCTGTCCTGGAACTTGCTATGTAGATCAGGTGGTTCTAGAACTCACAGAGATCCACCTGCCTCTGCTTCCCCAGTGCTGGGATTCAGGAATGTGCCAGCTCATCTGTAAATTTTTTATGCAGTGCTGGGGACTGAGTCCACTGTACATGGTAGACAAATCCCCAGCCCTCTGGACTGTGTAACACACATTGGTAAACGGTCTCATTAATAGAAAACCCGGAGCCAGATACGGGGGTGAAAGGTGGAAGGAAGAGAAACAGAACAAGCCAGCCACAAAGTTCTAATCTCTACGAAATCCTCAGCTTCAATAGAGAGACTTCCTGTTGACTCACGCCTTTTATACCTTTCTGTGTCCAGCCATCTTCCTTCCTAGTGCTGGGATTAAAAGGCATGTGCCACCACACCTGGCTGTGTTCCCAGTGTGGCCTTGAACTCACAGAGATCCACCTGGCTCTCCCTCCCAGTGCTTGGATTAAAGGCGTGTGCCACTGCCGCCCAGCTCAGATTTATCCATCTTACCTTACGGGTGCTTTGCTTGTATGTTCACCACATATGTGCTTGGTGCCCAGAGAAGTTAGAGGAGAGCATGGGATCCCTTGAAACTGGAATTACAGATGGTTGTAAACCACCACACGTAGGTCCTGGAAATGCAATCTGGTCCTCTCCAAGAGCAAAGAATGCTCCAAAACCCAAGTCACCTCTCCAGCCAGACCTTTTTATTTACTTAATTTTATTTTATTGGTGTTTTGCCTGCATGTATGTATGTCTGTGCGATGGTATCAGATCCTTTGGAACTGAAGCCACAGACAGTTGTAAGCTCCATGCAGGTGCTGGGAATTGAACCGGGGTCCTATGGAAGAGCTGACAGTGCTCTTAACCACTGAGCCATTTCTCCAGCCCCTTTATTTTTTAATCAGACTGAAGAAAAAAAGTTCAGGGGGATCTCTGTGGGTTCCAGTTCTGCCTGGTCTACAGAGCACGTTCCAGGACAGCCATATCTACACAGAGAGACCTTGTCTCTAAAAAAACAAACCAAAAAGGTTACTATGTATGTGGACACATAGGTCAGAGTGCATGTGGAAATGACAGTTCTTCGTTTTCACTGTGTGGGTCTAGGGTCTAACTCGGTTGTCAGGCTTCGTGGGGAGCGCCTTTACTCTCTGAACCCTCTAGACTATTAACGAGTGTAGTCAATACAGCTGACTATGTAATGAGTGCCAGCCAGGCTGGGCGGCGGTGGCACACGCCTTTAATCCCAGCACTCTGGAGGCAGAGCCAGGTGGATCTCTGTGAGTTCGAGGCCAGCCTGGTCTGCATAGCGAGGTCCAGGACAGGCACCAAAACTACACAGAGAAACCCTGTCTCGAAAAAAACAAAACAAAACAAACAAACAAAAAAGGCCAGCCAGATGGCCCAGTAAGGTTATTTGCAGCCAGGCCTGACCACTTGAGTTCAGTCTCCTGGTACTACATGGTGGGAAATAAAGAATTCACACAAGCATCATGGCACAAACACACACACACAACTATTTTGGGACTTACTGATAAATCTGTGTGTGTGTGTGTGTGTGTGTTGTTTTTACGAGACAGGGTTTCTCTGTGTAGCTTTAGGAGCCTATCCTAGAACTCGCTCTGCAGACCAGGCTGGCCTCAAACTCACAGAGATCTGCCTGCCTCTGCCTCCCGAGTGATGCGACACACACCCGGCTCTGCTTTTGTTTTTTGAGACAGGGCTTCTCCGTGTAGTCTTGGAATACTGGAATATCCTAGAGTGCTGGGATTAAAGGTGTCACCACCGTCATTCTTACTGACAAATCTTCATATCCTGACAGTATTTTCTAAACATTTAGTGGATGGTAAAGGTGCTGGGTTCAGTGTAGGAAAGGTGAATCTCACTATCACGTCCTCCAAGAGGGTCATCCCAATATATACTCACTGCCAGGAAGGATGTTTCATAATTTATGTACGTGTGCTGCGCGCGCGCGCACACACACACACATACACAGGGTTTCTCTTTTTCTCTTCTCTTCCGGTTTACCCTGGGAGGTTGCGTTTGCTTTTCTCTCCCTTTAGTAGTGCTGCGGGTCGAACCCAGTCCTCAACCATGCCAGGCAAGTGGTCTGCCCCTTAAGCTTCACCCCGAACGGCTTTTGCCTTTTTTGTACAAATAAATAACTGCAGGAAGTTATACGTTGTGATGGCCACCGACTGACTGCAAAGAGCAAACAAACGCCTCGCCCCACTCCTGATTCCCAGCAACTAGGGTTGCCGGTCTACGGCGAGACGCAGCACCCGGTTTTCAGCAAACCTGCGCCGTCACATTCACTCATGTCAGCTGAGCGGCGCGACCTTGGGTCAGGCTGACCGATTGACTGTGTGTGTGTGTGCTTTGCTTTGCTTTCTGTCCAGCGGCGCCGCGGACCGTGGTGTGTGTGCGCGCGCGCCTTAACTTTCTGTCCAGCGGCGCCGCGGACCGTGGGGTCTCGAGCGGTGCCCACGCGCCGGGACTCGCCCGGCTTCCGCCGTCTGCGGTCCTACGCTGTCGGCGTAGCGGCCGCGCCGGCTCCCGCCGCCCCTCGGTGCAGAGGCTCTTTTGCGCCCAGCGCCCGGGGCGGGCGCGATTCCCGAACGCCGCCTGCGCCGCGCACGCGCGACGGGCCCGCGGGCCCGCGTGCCCTTACGCCGCTGACGCAGCGCGCCCAAAATGGCGGCGCGGTCGTCGTCGGGGGCGGCGGCGGTAGAGGGGGCGGTGGCGGTGGCGACGGCGGCCGTGACTGCGGCGCAGGTCCCGGGCCGGGGGCAATGAGGCTGGCCCGCCGCGGAGCCGTGTAGCGGACACACAGACCCTCCTCCCCGCCTCGGCCAGGCCGGGGGCGCGCGCGCGCGCGACCGTCCGCAGCAGGCTCCCCTCTCCGGACTCCGAGGCCCCGCACGGCACCCCCCACCCGGGCCCGGAGGATGATGAAGCTCAAGTCGAACCAGACCCGCACCTACGACGGCGACGGCTACAAGAAGCGGGCCGCGTGCCTGTGCTTCCGCAGCGAGAGCGAGGAGGAGGTGAGGCGGCGGGGCGGGGGGCGGGGGAGTGCGGGGTGCGGCCCCGAGGGCTTCCGACGGGATTTCCCGAAGAGAAGAGGCGCGGGGAGCGGAGGGGGACGCGGGCCTGCGGCAGGGGGATGGCACTCTGCGGCCCGGGCGTCGGGGGGGCCGGCCGCCGTTCCCCCGGGCAGCAGCTCTGACCCAGGAAGGGCGGCCCGGCGCTTGGCAGCTCGGCGCCTGGCAGCACGGCACACGTGCACGAGGCGCAGGCCGGCCTTTGTGGCGGAGCCGAGGGCCGCCGGGGCAGGTTTGGGGTGGACCGAGGCGTCGTGGCTGCCGGCGAGCCCGGGCAGGGACAGCAAGCTCCTGGGCAAGTTCCTGGGCGCTGTGCACAAGCCAGAGCCAGCCGTTTGATTCTAACGTTGAGTTGATGAGGCCGTATGGTGGAGCCTGAAAAGAAAGGACACTCGATACACTTGTGTGTGTGTGTGTGTGGACCGAAAAATTTCACAGCCATCAAAAGCTGTATTTATTAAGGTCTTTATCCTGACACTTTTCTGTTGTGCCCTATAGGATAACCTGTAGGATATGCTAGGAAAATAGAGAATTTTAGAATCTGTTTCTTTTTGCTTAAGCAACTTTAAAAAAAAAAATCTCAGCTTCACAAAGCCGTTTCTGTGGTGATGAAGGGAACTCAGAAAAGGCGCATGTTTTGTAAATCCACAAAGAATAGCTGCTTTGGAAATTCATAAGATGCCCGTGAGAACACATTTCTGCCGTGTGCATGGTGGTAAAATGGCAGTTAGCTTGCTAACAATGAAGGACAGTGAAATTGAATATGCTTTATTCCGGCCTTCAGCGGTGGGCTGCGGTGGCAAGGCGACTGTGCAGGGCACCGTGTTGAAATGGGGAGGGAAAGGAACTTGACCCGTTAGTTTTGAAAAGCTGTGAGGAAACAAACAGATGGATTGCCAGGAGTCACTGTCCGGAGATATTTAGGAGGAGGAGGGAAAGAAAATCAGCGAAAGCGTTCATTGTGTTGAGGGATTGCCTGTGATATGCTTTCAGCAAAACAGTTCGGAAGTGTATAGTTTGTTACTTTGCTTTTATTACAAAGGTCCTCAAAGAGATGCTCCGTTGTAAAGGATGAGCGCGTTTTAGAATACATTCTTATCTTCAGTAAGGTAAAACTGTCATTGGTGATGACTGTTCAGAGGCTTTGTTCTCTCCGTTATCACATGGGAAGTCAGATGGGATCTGGGACTGCTAACTGGAGGGACAACTAATTAGCATAATAACATACCTTACTACAGTACTGTGTTAAGTCTGTACCCCAGTGTTAGAGTAGAAGGCTGTGTAATGTACTCACATGAATGCAGCAAGACTTTCTGTTTTAAAAAGATCATCTGAGAGGTTGAAAAACGTGAGTATTTTGGATAAATACTGAAAACTTAAGATCCTAAGCAAAGGAACAACCAAGTTTGCCTTTTTTGGTTAAAAGTTTTATGATGGACTGACAGCAGCTTTGTTGTCCATGCTTATTTGTTTTGGCCCCCTGTGCCCTTGTGCAGGTCAGACCAGGCATAGGACTTGATTTTTAGGAGCTTAAAATTTTAATGTCAAAAGAAGAATTAAAGTATTTGCTTAATGGTGGAGTTTCCTTCATTGAATTTCTTTTTGCACGTTGGTTAATGAGCAGAACAATCATGTTAATCATGAATTATTGATTCAGTGGGTACTATAGTCATAGTTTGGTAAGAACAATAATGTTAATGGACACAGGCCGGTGTTAAGAGACTCTGGTAGGTGGGATTTACAGATCAACACTCTGTGAGAGTGTACAGATCTGTCTCTGCCCAGAGGGATTTTTGATAGTCTCTTAGTTCGGAGGGGTTTTAGACCACAAAGCAATCTCTAGAGTACTGTTTCACTCTCACATTATATAATTGTGTTGGGAGGGAAGTGATTGGTTAGTTCCAGGGAAACTTTCATGTTCTCAGTAGATGTGCCAGAGACTGGAATTGTTAACTGCCACCATTGTGGGGAAAGGGAAAATTCACACTTGAGAGGGCATTCAGCCCAATTTTATTTTTTTTAATTGGCACTAATGGCTTTACTCAAAAGAGAATTGTTTACAGAATATTATTAGCACAGTGCAACACTAATGTAAGTGTAAACAGGACCTTGATTTTTAAATCTAATTAGCCAGTGTCAAGAAACATACATACGATGTGAAGAAAGAGATTAAAACATTAAAAAATAATTTGACCAAAAATCCCTCAGCCCCAGGAAGCTACAGTTACAGGCCCAGCGCTGAGAGCAGCAGAAACGGTCCGGGTCGGGATGGGAGTGTACTTAGCAGTTATTGAGCGTTCACGAAGGTGAAGTTCTCTGTACAGTAATGGGAGAGGTCGGTAGGAGTGAGCTTAGAGCTAAGTGGGAAACAGAAAAACCTCCCCAACAACATCGCGCTGCTGAGCTCTTTCTGCCAATCTCTGGCCGTTTTTCTTGTTGATAAATTGAAGTTAACAGGGGGAAAAAAGTCCCCTGCTTGTGGGCACTACTGGCTATTGCTGGCATTTCTATAAATGGGTATTTGATAGAGCGGACATAGTTGTTGTGATGCTGTGCCCTGGGGTTCCCAGCCCTGGGCTCCCTGAGCTTGAAGTGTGTGCTCATGAAGACTCGGTTGTACTTAGTTCTGTGTTGGTGTAGGTTTGTCATTCTTGTCTTTGTGGAACTTAATTCACTATGGAGCGCCGGTTCAAAAAGGATTGCTTTGTATATGTGTGTGGGAGGGAGAGAAGCCTTTCAGATACTTTAGAAAGACCGCAAATGCGTGTCATGGAAGAAGTCACTGCTTAGTTATGTGCACAGGCCAACTGGAAAGGGCTAAACAGCTACTTACTGTAGGACTTTGCACATAGATACCTCCCGGTGCTTTCAGATTTTTATCCTATTTAGAAGCGAGACCTAAGACTAGGTCAGTCATTGTGTGGGTGGCATAGGAAACAAGTCAGCTTGTAGTTCCATACTTCTTTTTGTTTGTTTTGGTTTGAGACACATTGGAGCCCAGGCTGGCCTTGAACTCCTGTTCTTCCTGCCTCTACCTCTTAAGTGGTGGGAACACATGCCCAGCTGAAATACTTAAGATACTTCTTCTTCTTCTCCTCCTCCTTCTCCTCCTCCCCCTTCAGTGCTGAGGATTGAACCCAGAACCTCTTGCATGCTGCTATGCAAGTGCTCTACCACTAAGTCACATCCACAACTCACAGTTCTGTTTTTATACTGAAATCTTGTCTTTACAAAGATCAGTAAATAAATATACTTTTATGATTTTTGAATGAATTGGGTAATGCAGTCACTTGACTCTTAGAGCCATCCCGAGAGATAGCTCTTCCTCACTCTTCTCTTTTGGAGCCTTGGTAGGGGAGGATTTGTTTGTGCTCTATACCCTTAGTAGAAGGGCTGAGGAGTGTGGCTCTGGCTTTTCAAACAGTTGAAATCTCTTGGAATAAACAATGATGGACCCAAACCTGTGAGGTCAGTGATGCTGAGTTGGCACCAGGTGACATTCTAGTGCTTGGGAGAGTCAGGGCAGCAGTCACCTGAAGGTCTGCATTAGCCCAGTGAATCTTTATGTTGTTGTTGTTTTGTTTTTCTTTCTTTCTTTTTTAAATAGTTTATTTTTATTTCATGTGTTTGCTTGTTTTGCCTACATGTATGTGTGTGAAGGTGTCACATCGCCTGAAACTGGAGTTATAGGCAGTTATGAGCTGCCATGTGGGTGCTGGGAATTGAACCTGGGTCCTGTGGAAGAGCAGCCAGTGCTCTAAACCTCCGAACCATCTCTCCAGCCCCCTTGTTTTGTTTTTCAAGACAAGGTTTCTCTGAATAGCCCTGACCTTCCTAGAACTCATTCTGTAGACCAGGCTGGCCTCGAACTCAAGCGATTCATCTGCCTCTGCCTCCCAAATGCTGTATTTAAAGGTATGCACCACCACTGCCCGGCACAGCCCAGTAAGTCTTTTTTTTTTTTTTTTTTTTTTTTGGTTTTTTGAGACAGGGTTTCTCTGTGTAGCTTTACACCTCTCCTGGAACTCACTTGGTAGCCCAGGCTGGCCTCAAATTCACAGAGATCCGCCTGGCTCTGCCTCCCGAGTGCTGGGATTAAAGGCGTGCGCCACCACCGCCCGGCCCAGTAAGTCTTAATAGTGAGTCAGTTAGATTTCCCTCCATGTGTTTAATGTGTATGTTGTAAGTGTGAATGTATGTGAGCATGGGGCCTGTGTCCGCCATGACTCTCTGTAGAGGCCAAAGGACAAGTATCAATCCTTATTTTCACCTTTTTGAGGCATGTTTCTTTGATGCTAAGCAAGCCCGGCTAGCTGGTCTCCGCCTCCTGTGTGACTGCAGGAGTGCTAGCATTGCAGATGTGTGCCACCCCATCTGGCTTTATGTGAGTTTGAGGGATGGCTAGCTCCCCAGGTGCATTATCCACTCCATCTCCCCAGCCCTGCCTATTTCTTCAAAGACAGGTTACCACCTAATGGCTTTCTATGGTGAGGTGTTAGGTTTGCCTGGCAGATTGCTGTTTGTGTTTTCTCAGATCCTTGAGCTCACCAAGTCGATGGGGAGTGGACTGACTCTGGAGATCCTCAGTGGGTAGAGGGACTCTGGTGGCCTGAGTGTTTGTCTCTGAAAGTCCTCAGGGATATCGGTAGAAGGACGTCACTGCAGATCACACCCTCCAGCAAGCTCAGGAGAGGGCAGGAGAGCACTGGTGGCAGTCTCTCTCCGGTGGGGCCATAACCCTGGCAGAGGGCTTCAGCAGATCTCAGGCTGGAGGGGAATCCTTGTGCTGGGTGTCTTGGCTGTGGTCCAGCATTACTTTGTTCGAAGGTTACACTGGGGCATTTCTGCTTTTCATCTCTCTAAATTGGTTATGGTGGCTTTTATCTAATCCCCCTCCTTCCGAGGCTGCGGGTTTGGTCTGATCTGTGGTCATACTGTATCTC